GCAGGAGTACTAGTAAATGATGTGGAGGGAGAAAAAACTGCACGAGGAGAATGACAACAAGGTGTTACCCAAAGGAGGTATGCGAGCCACGTGCTTGCGCCATAGGATGTTGGACAATTGGTCGCTTTGAGGACGCTGAATGTGATAAACAAGTTTGTTACTGTCTGTCTGGTTGCCGCCCCAACTCCACCACCACTTATAGCCGCCACCACCTGTCTCTTCATACTCCCACTTCCGTTCGTTGTCTCGCCTAATAATCCATTCATAATAAAGTAATATTTGGACAATATATGCTTGTGAAGGTGCATTAACATATTAGTTCAAGATTAAAGAAGTTGTAATAGATCCTACACTAGGCCCAACTTACGGTCATTCAATTCTAAGTCCGCTTGGGCTATTTGAAGAATTAAGATCGGCCCATAAATTAGTCATATCTAGGCACAAATTATTTAAAGTCAACTAAGAATTAATCAAAGCAAAAGATAAACTCATTACGTGCCACAATATACAGCTCGATTCTCAAAATGCACAATTAATACAGACTAAAATTGGATATCTTAGGCCCATTTTAGTAATCGAGGCCCAAAATTCCAGACCCACTTTACGAGTAAACCAGGCCGATATATGCACATTTCAGGTTCAGAAAAGCCTCCCTTCAGAATTAGTCCACAACTGGAGCAACTCTCAGACCCAAATACAGGCCACTCCATGCCCATCTGAGGTCAATAATTTGTAGAGAGAGAGAGAGAGAGAGAGAGAGAGAGAGAGAGAGAAATATAATAATAAATACATTATACACGCGTATACACAGTTATGTTGAGATAAGGGTACAATCGTAAATTGGAACAAAGAAACAACTAATTATAGATAAGAAGATATTTAAATTTATCCTTTCCTGGTTCATCAACAAGCTTGGTACCTAATTAATGCATTGTCTTCCAAAAAATACTATAAATTAATAAACATGCAACATAACTAACCTCCATAAACAAAGAAAAATGGACAAGAACTTGCAGATGGTCACCTTCAGATCGTCATCACCTTATTGTTTTTACTCTTCGTCTCTGGTACTTTGGTCTCTCTCTCTCTCTCTCTCTCTCTCTCTCTCTCTCTCTCTCTCTCTAATAAAGTGCAATAATATTAATGTTGCATGATTATTGGAAACATGCATGCAGGAGTTGTGGAGGGCAGAAAAAACTGCAGGCACAGATACAGAACAAAGTGTTATCCAAAGGAGAATTGCGAACCCCGTGCTTGTGCCATATTCTGCACTGGATATGAGGATTTTGAATGTGACGGTAGCTGTGTCTGTTTGGACGGTTGCGGGCCCCGCAACTCCACCACCACTAGTACTCGCAACCACCCACCACCACCACCTCTTCCCATCTACAGCCGTCGTTGTATGGTCTAACTATATTTAATCCATGCATGCTGCACAATAATAATTACTCATTCTTCTTTTATATGTATCATTATTGCAGCAACGAACTTGTTTTAATTGACTAAATTTCGCTTTTCCATTACACTTTTGTCTTGTGATTACATCCCGCGCGCACACACGCGCGCGGATATATATATATATACATGGTATACCCCACACTTTTCTCTTACAATATTAGCGACAAAAATTAATTGCGTATATACAATCAGAGTAGTCATGTGCAAACTGTGAAGGAATATAAGAGTCTAATTAATATACACGTACGAAATAATCAATCAAATAATTAACAAGGAACACAGAGATATTATTTAATATTGATGCATACAAATAAAATTGATCACTAGTAAGTAGTGACCATTACAAACCAGTATAGTAATATATAGAGAAATATTAATTAATTAATTATTATAACATGAAATAAAAAAGGAGTGGTTCTAGCTATAAGAGAAACCTTTATTGTAATTAATTATATAGGTATATAGAAAAGTAGTACTTGTTCATAGATCATTCATTCCTGAAGCACATGATCTTCTGCCGATGTTTCACCAATTTCAACCCGGCTATGAGTTGCTTTGCCAAGGAAACCCGCGTCAACGTTTTTGCGGCTACAGTACAAACATGGGTGCTGCGGATTTATTTTCTTGACGCCCAAAATACCCCTAGCCTTCATCACAAGTTTCTTGTTTGTTATAAGGGCAGGGGTACCCTTGAGAATTTCGACCACAACTTTAGTAAAGGCACCACAAGGGGCCCCGTTTTCATCTTCATCTTCATAAGTAAACTCATCAGGTTCACCGGCGCTCAGTAAAATTCCCTGGTCAGCTTTCAGCGGCTGAGGATGCTTATTTGGAGGCTGTGTGAACAAGATGCTGGCTTCCGATTTAAACAACTGGACCAGGTGTACTCCAATATTCGGACTGTTTAGCCCTGTCCTTGACGACAGTTGTGCCAGATAAGCATCGTAAGGGAGCATCCTACGAGGACGACAACTTCTGTCTGGAGGCTGTGGATGGTAGGGTAGCCCTACCTGCACGGGCTCTTGGTCGATAAGTCCACCACTGCAGCACGAGTCAGCTAGTATAGTGAGTGTTGCATCTTTGGGCAAAAGATTCACATAATGTCTGAACTCTAAACCTGAAAACAAATCAAATTGAAATTGCAAACAATTATTTATTTAAAATTTGATCTCTATCCAATTCCAAACAAATTCAAGAATATTCGTGCATGATTAATCATATTGTATAAAAAAAACCAAAGTATTGAACTTACAATTAATGTTATTGTCGTCGCAGCCTACTATGGCCTGCCTTAGCTTCCCATTATCATCAGTAACAGTTGTCCCATGACCCGAAAAGAAGAATAAGAGCCGATCTCCAGGTAGAGCTTTGGCAATCATATTACCGAGTTGAATCTTTATATTTTGACCAGTCGCCCTTAGTTTCTTACTCCCTGGTTTGTCCGTCAACACCATAATTGCTTTCGAGTCGAACCCAAATCGGCCAATCAGCATCTTCTTCATCATCTTTGTGTCGTTAATGCAACCATTGAGCTTGTAGGGCTTCGGGTAGTTTGGATAGATACACCTAGGGGTGTGAACGAGCCGAGCTCGAGCCGAGCTCGCCTCTTTTGGCTGGCTCGAGCTCGAGCTCGAGTTTATTTTGTCGAGCTCGAGCTCGAGCTCGAGCTCGTCGAGTTCTTCTTTTTCTGGCTCGAGCTCGAGCTCGTGTTAATTTTGTCGAGCTCGAGCTCGAGCTCGAGCCCAATCCCTTTTTTTTTTTTTTTTTTCTTTTTTTAAATATTATTTTATTATTAAAAAATATTTTAAAAAATTACAAAATAAACACAAAATTGTGATTATATATTTTTTTAATATTTGTATTTATTTCTATAATATTTTATATTATTATACATTTTTAAATAAAAATAACATATAAAAAATAAAAAAAAAATAAAAAAAAATAAAAAAATATTAATAAATCCGGCTCGCGAGCCGGCTCGCGAGCTGATGAACAACTAAAATCGGGCTCGAGCTCGGCTCGTCAGAAAGCTCGAGCTCGCGAGCTCGAGCTCGAGCTCGAAAACCTCGAGTCCGAGTTCGAGCTTTTTACGAGCCGGTTCGTCGAGCTCACGAGCCGGCTCGGCTCGTTTACCACCCCTAGATACACCCCACTAGCACCGCCTGCAACTTCACCTCTCCATCTCTCACGATTCCTCTCTGGTAATCCATAGGAAATTTTACTTGGGTTTTTTTCTTTCTTTCTTTCTATAAAACTTGTTATTGACTAGAGTGAAGTGGTATAATTCATTTAATTTGGATCAATTTATAGTGTTGTTGTGTAGAAGTTAAGGCCTGGCTAGCTAGGTTATGATATACGTTCCAACATCAATATATTCTTTTAACCGAAAGTTATTACAAACAGACTATGAATTGCATTATACCTTTCGTTTCTGACCCAAATTTCCCAAACAATAACATATCTTTCCTTAACAATTCATTAATTTAGTTCTTGACTTGATGTACTTTAATGATGACACATCGGAGAACACTGCTAGAAATAAAAATTCCATGTTGGCAGAATATAATCACTTTATCATCTGGAAATTTAATCAATAAAGAGACCATTCTAATTGACTTTACAACTCATTAATTCACACTTATGGTAAACTTTAATCAAATCAATCAAAATACAATATATGGTTTTGTATTGTTTTTCTCTTAACAGTAATTAACGCCTGGCTGGTTAATTAAGACAATTCTTTAACCTAAAGTTACTACTGAAAACATTAAGCTATGTATATGTAATAATATGCTTTTCCTTTCCAACTGAAATTTCTCAAAACGATTATTAGTTCAATTAGTGTTGGACTTCAAATTCAAATCATACCAAAATTTACAACCAAATGTCTTTCGCATATTTAACTTTAATATATCTAAGGAATTATTAACTGTACCAGTACATATTTTCTATAATATTATGATTTCCATGTAATATCATTCCTCAAAAATAAATTAAATAATATATATATCTATCTATCTATATATATATATATATATATATATATATATATATATATATATATATATATATATATATAGTATTGTTGTAGCAATGCTAAATTGCTAATCTCTATCTCTCTCTTGTTTTGTTTTCTTATAAGTTAAATCCTCAAACTTTATATTTTTCATGGTCTTGACAAACCTGCTCTAGGAACTAATTAATTTTAATAAAGAAAGGCATATCATTTCAGTTTATAAGTATTAAAGACATTTCAGTTTATTGTTTGCATATTTTTTGGTTAAAAAATGAAGGAATGGAATACTTATTTTTCAAACCAAAAATTAGGGAAATGAACAAAACTGCATGAAAGATATAAACTGAAAAGAATGAAGAAACCGAATAAGTGGTCCCTTTCTGGAATACAAACGCATTAGTGAAAGTGTAATTTTGAATGCACTTTTTCTTGATTCAGCTAATATAATCTTCTTCTTTTTTAATCACCCAAATATCTGAGTGTATTTTTTTTGAAGTTGTAATCTTCAGAATGTAACATAGTGTATTTAATTGTTCAAAGTATCTCTCGGAAAAAAAAAAAAACAAATTGTGTATTTCGTGAATTTAATTTTTCTCAGAAAAAAAAAACATGGTGTATTTAATTAAACAATACATGAATTTTACCAATTACCATTAGTGTCTTATTTGTTCTTTAATTAATATATAATTTCAAGATTTTGAGAAAAAAAATTATTAGATTAGGATTGTACTTGGGTTAATTGGATCAATTTATTTCGTTCTTTTTTGGGCCAATCATGAGGACCCCCTAACAGATGGTATAATAACGAAACACCCTCTGTGTTACGACCACCTCTGAAGTATTCGTCATCTAAGAAACATACAAACTAACTAATTGATCAGTTTGGATGAAGAAGAGATTAATTAGTAAATACAAGTCCTAATTATATATGGTCCTTCTATTGAAAACGGGTCAAAGATGGGTAGAGAGAATAAGGAAGCGCACCTTGGAAAATGCCGAGATAAACCGAGTGCCATGGTTTCATCAATGGTACAGTGTTGACTTGGTCATCAGAAGAATGCATGATCCAGCTGCATTATGAACAACTTCTAAAGCAAGAGGCCAACATTCATTCCCCTGCAAAATGTTGAAATGTAATCAGCCAGAAATTACAAAATCATAATCGACATGATATTTATTACTTAGGAAATTGTAAACAAACTGAAAAAACACCTATATCAATTACGGTTCATTCATCAATGCTCAGGCCTCGAAGATCAGTGTACTCTCGGAAGGGTGTTTTTGAGAATCGAGTGTTGTTCCAAAAGTCTGGAGTTAGGAATCCAAAGGTCTTCATCATTCATTCGAAAGTTGACTGCAAGTACAAAAGCTTGAATTAGTAACCATAATATGAGCTAACCTAATTTCAGGCCGCCACTAGCATGTTACAACTAGAATATCGCAGAAATGATTAACTAGTCTGATTGAGGAAACACAAACGGATCAACTAAACAATACAAATACGACAACCTGATACAGCGATTGGTAGACAAAATAATCATATCAATCAGTTAAACCATCATCTTAATCTTAGAGAGTAACAAAGGCAAAACATCATCTAAAAGAGCAATCTCGATAAAACATCCTCTTAAAATTAAAGATAAATCAAGGCATGCAAAACACCATCTTAATCGATCTTAAAGAGTAATTACGGCAACACACCAACCAATGATTCTACGAAGAATACACCAAAAGCAAATTAGCATCTAACAGACAAAAGGAACAATTGAAAACATAAGAACACACAATGCTACTTCGAATATAACTAACACCAATAGAACGAGAATTAAAGAAGACGAAATTGAATGCAGCAGGAAATGATTAACCTTGACGAAGTTTCCGAGGTAAAAACATCCTCGAGTCCGGGAAACTGAAGAACCTTGTTACGTGTGCACACGCGCCGCCACAATTCAACAGTAACAGATCCACAGTTGCCGGTCAGATTAAAAGGCACTGTGTGCGGCTTTCCGATCGTGTTAGCCCAGTCTCTTCATCCTTGATTGGGAGGTAGATTCGCTCAATTGATTTGATCTTACCGTTGTTCACCAAACAAAGTGTCTTATCGTTAGTACTAATCATACTTAACAGAGTTAATACTAATAACAATTTGATAAATTAGAATTAATGTAATAGTGGATTAATGAATAATATTGCTGTAGATGAAATTAGACCCATATTCTCACATATATATTGGGTGTTAATATATTAAAATTTTGGAGTCTTGAGTAATTAGTATTTCGAAAGAGACCAAAATTGCAAATAATAAAATCTATTGGGACCAATTAGAAACAGAGAGATATATTATTAGAAACAACTGTATATTTAATATAAATGCATAAAGATCATAGAAATGAAACTGGTCACTAATTGTAAGTAGTATAATTTTCATATATAGAAAGCTAAATATTAATTATAAAATGAAAGCACACAGGACAGCTGGTTGGTTCTAGTAGTGTGTGTATATATAATAATCGCACACATGACGGATAATAATCACCCAATGTATTTTATTGGGTGTCACGTTTCAATAATCATGCAATGGTCGGTGTTGAGGTTATTATGTTGATTGTTACATATATAATTAATTACTAATGTTAATTACCTTGTTATCATTGGATAACAAGATAAGAAGTAAATTAATTAGGTTTACCTTTTATCTTGATGATAAGCTAAGATGAACTTGATGAACAAGATTGGTGCATAATTAATGCACATTGTTCTCTGCCAAAAAGCAGCTATAAAACATGCAATATTATAACAACCATTGTATATATTATCACTAATCAGAAAAGAAAAAAAATGGACAAGAAACTGCAGCATGTGATGATCACCTTATTTTCGATATTACTATTCGTCTCTGGTACTGGACTCTCTCTCTCTCTCTCTCTCTCTCTCTCTCTCTCTCTCTCTCTCTCTCTCATTTGCTAGATTGATGTTCGGTGATTGAAAACATATATGCAGGTGTACTAGTAGATGATGTGGATGGCAGAAAAAATTGCAAGCGAAGAGTGACAACAAATTGTTGGCCAAAGGAGGAATGCGAGCCACGTGCCTGTGCCATAGCATGCTGGACCCTTGGTCGTTTTGAGGACGCCGAATGTGATGAACAAGTTTGTTATTGTCTGTCGGGTTGCCGCCCCAACTCCAATACCACTCATCGCCACCACCACTCCACTCTTCATACCCCCACTTCCGTTCGTTGTCTCGCCTAATAATCCATTCATAATCTTCTAATTATAAATATTTATTCGCAATTGGGAATGGTTTGGTCACTTCTTCAACCAAAGCTGCAACAAAGGACATCACAATAAAGTAATATTTGGACAATGTGCATTTATAACTTATTAGTTCAAGCTTAAAGAAGTTGTAAATGGACTTGGGAAATAGGCTCAATCTTAGATTAAAAGTCAACTAAGAATTAGTCAAAGCAAAAGATATACCCACTACAGCCCCATTCTCAAAATGCACAATTAATACAGGCTCAAATAAGGTCCGTTTGTAAATTAACTAATTAATTCAGACCTACTCCAGGCCCATTAAACAATTAATACAGGCTCACTCCAGTTAATGAATCATACTAAACCGGGCTCGATTGTTGTCTCAGACTAAACCGGGTTTCCCTCAGCCAGCCCAAAATCTATGTTCAAATTGGGACATTTTACAAAATAGGAAAGATATATTAATACATACCTTAATCTTTTCAGTGACTTTAGGTTAAAGAATTGTCTTAACTAACCAGCCAGGTGTTAGTTACTGTTAAGAGAAACACAATACAAAATCATATATCACTTTTGTTGGAATTTTTAATTGAATAAAATAATTAGGGTATTTCAAATAGGTGCATGTTTGGAATGAATGAGTTTCTTTCCAAACAACACATCTATTTAAGAAATAATTTTTTTCAAAACAATATATCCCTTCACAAAAGGACTCTTAAATTTCTATAAATAAGACAAAACCTGATCAGTTTTGCACAAGAGATAATAAGACGTTTGTGAATTTCTTCCTAAAACTCTTCTGTCAAAATTTCATTCCTACGTTTCTAGTTCGCCGTGGGCTTCGAATTTGTGCAAATATCGAAGTATCCGACTGTTGTATCTTGGGAGACTACCGGGAGTGACTGTTGCACCGTAGACAGCCCGAAAATATTGTCTTAAGGACATTGCTTTTGCAAGCCTCAGTCGATTTTTCGTTCTTCATATTTCCGGTAAATTTCTACTTCCAAGTAAGTATAATTCTTATTCAATTATTTACGCAGATTGTTATATTTATACCAACGATCTTAAGACGATATGATTTTTTATGTTTATAACATCTGCGTCAATTGCGTATCTGTTATGAAGTTGTTGTTTGAAAATTTGTGCGCAAATTTAATTTGTTTTATTCTTTGCCTATGAATTTTTGGTGGCTTAAATTTTATATAACATAATTATTCCTTGCGTATATGTATCTCTGGTTCCCAATATACTCATCTGTTAATTAGAACAGTCCACTTTGATTTAAAAATTTTATATTTTCAATCATGTGCAAAATAACAGTGGCTGTATGAGCAGATATAGCATATGTTCGAAGAATCTAATTAATTAACGACCTGACTAATTCAAATTTGATTTTGAAATTTCTGTTAATAGTTTCATTCTGGTTTTACGAAATGCATTTATGCATTAAAGTCTGCAAATAAAGATTTCCATTTTGCGCAGAACAAATCTGTGTTGGAAAATTAATATCAAAAGTTTGTTATTTTTTTAATGCGCTGTAAATATGGGAAGAAATTGTTGATGACTTATTAATTTCACTTCATTGAAATTTATGCACAACATATCTTTTTACATTACAAAATACCGGTTCAAGAGTTTAAATAGTTTTATCCATAAAAAGGTACAGAGCCCTATTTTGTTTCTTAATTAATGGATATATACTTTTATATATTATGTGTATATATATTATGTATATTTGTATGATCTATGAACAAAACTTTAATTGAAAGTGTGCAGTTACTATTTTGTGAAAATAGTTTCACTTTATTGAGATTTTGAGTAAAGAATTTCATAAATTGACCATTTGTTTAAATAATTGCGGTTTAAATATTTGTGATTCACTTGTTAAAAATATTTGAGTGAACATCTAATATAGATGATTTCAAAGGTAACACCTTTATAGGGTGATGATAAAGCGAAAAATCAAGTTCAAGAGCATTTATTTTGCATAGTGGAAAATTATGGCGTTGCTTTATTGTGTGATCTTCAATTCAAAGACTACTTGTGTAATGACCTAGTTAAGGTTAATGTGGTTGTTATTGGCAAAAATGAAGCTATTAATGAGAATGCTTCGTATGCTTTCGATTCAAGTTTACCGGAAAACTTGTGGGGGAATTCTTATATGTCTAATCACATATGAAGTGTAATTAATTCCACACAAGAAAAATAATATCTATCCTAAGGAGTTTATGGAAGGATACAAAGTTGACTACAAATACCTCAAAATGTGGGGGTGTTTAACTATAAGTTAAATATGTTAGTATACGTCTTTGAGGGATATACTTATGCAATTGGATTTTCGATTTAAAGATAATCAATCAACAATGCATGCATAGAGCTCATAAATTTAAAATGTAAGTCTAGACATATTTGTCGTAGACATAATATCGTGAGACATTTACTTTCTAATGGAATAAATTTCATTGATTTTGTGAAATCCAAAGATAACCTAGCGGATCCATTTACTAAAGGTTTATCTCGTGAGAGAGTTAAATGTGCATCGAGGGGAATATATTTAAAGCCTAAATAACTAAGTTACCTTATACGGAAACCTAACTTGACGACTGGAGATCCCACGGACCAAGTTCAATAGGACAACCAGTTCTGCGTGACTTAAACAATCGTAGCACTAAGGAGTTTTAACTCCGTATTATTCCTTTGATGCGATAAGTGCAACCTACGACGTTTAAAAAGGTTAAGCTATTGCTTTTAATGACGTCTATATCTTGTCAAATACAAGTGGGGTATAGTAGCATACTCTTTATAGATGCGGTCACCTATGTTAGTGTGAGCTGGGTCGGCTCGTTGAGAATTCTTATAAAGGCTTAAATTCTCTAAAGCACTCGCAGAACCCGAGAATGTTCAGGGCCGAAATGAACACAACCGAGAACTTGAAACACACGTGTTTAGTACGGTGTTAAGTTTATTGTCTTGGTTTACACAAACAGCCGACAGTTCAAGATGAAATAATTCACTGATTGGCTAAGTAAATTCGATAAACTTTAACTAGGGAAGGTTCAAGATGAAATATTTCACCTATCCCGATGCTGTACTATTCCTAAAAGAATTTTTTGACAATATGGTCTCATGAGATGAGGTTGGAAGAATAATTTTATTCATGTGGGGTATTGTTGAAATTTTTAATTGAATAAAATAATTAGGGTATTTCAAATAGGTGCATGTTTGGAATGAATGGGTTTCTTTCCAAACAACACATCTATTTAAGAAATAACTCTTTTCAAAACAACATATCCCTTCACAAAAGGACTCTTAAATTTCTATAAATAAGACAAAACCTGATCAGTTTTGCACAAGAGATAATAAGACGTTTGTGAATTTCTTCCTAAAACTCTTCTGTCAAAATTTCATTCCTACGTTTCTAGTTCGCCGTGGGCTTCGAATTTGTGCAAACATCGAAGTATCCGACTGTTGTATCTTGGGAGACTACCGGGAGTGACTGTCTGTTGCATCGTAGACAGCCCGAAAATATTGTCTTAAGGACATTGCTTTTGCAAGCCTCAGTCGATTTTTCGTTCTTCATATTTCCGGTAAATTTCTACTTCCAAGTAAGTATAATTCTTATTCAATTATTTACGCAGACTGTTATATTTATACCAACAACTTTTTGGATTGATTTGATTAAAGTTTACCATAAGTGTGAATTAAGGAGTTGTAAAGTCAATTAGAATGGTCTCCTTCCTTATAATTTAATTTCCAGATGATCGATAAATATTCTGCAAAACAAAAAAACAAAAAAAAAAAAGAAGTAAAAAAAGAAGCATTGTCATCTGATGTGTGTGTGTCATCACTAAATTTTGGTTAGAAATTAAAGTTGATGCTAAAGACAACAGTTCATCTTACACTACTTTTTGGTGTGAATTGAACTACTTGAACCATAAGCTAAAGATCTCTGTTATATATATAGCATATCGAATATGTTTTTTTCTGTTTACTCTTTGACTGTTCAATAATAAAAAAATTACAAAAATAATAAACAAGAATAAATATATTTTCTATTTATTTTTTTTTTTCTGTTAGAAAAGATAACTAGCATGCAGGTAGGTAAACAGAAACACTATAAATAGATGCAATTAATTAGCCAGGGATAAGTCAATTGCAAAACTATATATATATATATATATATATATATATATATGGAGGCAGAGAAAAAAACCGTGGGGATGCACGCAGTTCTTGTCGGCTGCAACTATACAAATACAGAAGCTGAGCTAGGTTGCCACAATGATGCTTATAAGATGCGTAAAACACTGATAGAAAGATTCCATTTCGACCCGAAACGAATCTCGGTTATGGTGGACAAGCCCGGCAGCGGAAAAATGCGTACCGGTGCGAATATCAAGAACGAACTTCGGGACATGATTGGAAAAGCTCGAGCGGGAGATAGTCTCTTATTCTTCTTTTCAGGTCTTGGAGTGTGTTTCTCGGTACCTGTGGATAGGTGAAAACACGCCTATGCCTCTACATGTGTCTATATACATATCTATATATATATATATATATATATATATATATATATATATATATATATATATATTCATATAGCAGTTTGGGTTGGGTTTTGCCTTGAAGTCCAGTGTTTATCGCAATAAAAATTATTTAAGTTATATTAAAAATATTAGTTAATTAATTTAAATTAAAATGGAATATGTTAAGAAGGTCATTTATCAAAATATATGTCGTTATTTATCAAAATTAATTAGTTCCCGGTTAATATTTATCAAAATCATAAAAACTAAAAAGAACAAAGATTATGTTTTTCCATATTTTTAATCCATTGATTAATATTCTTTGGCTAGAAATAAAGTGCACATTGGTGATATTCTCCAGAATAATTTATATAGTGCGTAAAGAAATTAAATTAGAACGTGCAATGCACGTGCATCTTTCTAATTTTTAAAAATTATGTACTTTTAAGTGGGATTAATACTTTTATATCGATTCGTGTTGTTGCATATATAACATTTAATTGAAAAAAATGTACCAAATAAAATACTAAAAATAAAATATAAAAGAAAAATTAACTTAAAACGTGCAATGCACGTGCATCTTTCTAAATTTAAGAAAATATGTACTTCTAAGTGAGATTAATACTCGTATTATGACATGATCTCTTACCTTATTGATTCATGTTGTTGGATATAAAACATTTAATTGAAAAAAAAACGTACCAAATAAAATACCAAAAATAAAATATAAAAGAAAATTCAACTTGAAACGTGCAATGCAGGTGCATCTTTCCAATTTTAAAAAAATATGTATTTCTAAGTGAGATTAATACTCGTATTATGACATGATCTCTTACCTTATCGATTCATGTTGTTGGATATAAAACATTCAATTGAAAAAACGTACCAAATAAAATACCAAAAATAAAATATAAAAAAAAAAATCAACTTAAAACATGCAATGCACGTGCATCTTTCCAATTTTTTTTTTTAAATATGTACTAATAAGTGAGATTAATACTTGTATTATGACATGACTCGTACCTTATCGATTCATGTTGTTGGATAGATAACATTTAATTGAAAAAAAATGTACCAAATAAAATACCGAAAAAAAAAAAAAAAAAAAATTTCGACTCAACACGTGCATCCTTCACACGAGGCTCAACCATAATTCCGTGACCGGAGAAGAAGAAGACAAGTGGTCTCCGAGCTTGGAGCTTTCCATCATTTTCAAGAGTTGATGTTTTATATTTTTCCCGGTCGGCATCATATTCAGGGGAGTGCTTGCGTCGTCCGTCATTAGAGGTATGCTCTTCGAGTCATACTCGAAGGGCTGAGTAAGCAGCTGGTGCATTGTTTGCGCATCGTTATGGCAACCGTAGAGTGGAGAGATCCTTTTCAAATTCTTTTAAATATTTACCATTAACAAATTAACAAATTTAATTTGACAAATAAATGTATATATACATATATACAATATTTTAATTGATAAAAATGTACCAATAAAATATCAAAAATATAAAATATAAAAGAAAATTAATCTGAACACGTGCAATGTACGTGCATCTTTCTAATTTTTTTTAAAACATGTACTTTTATATGAGATTAATACTTGTATAATGACATGATCTCTTACCTTATCGGTTCATATTGTTGGATATATAATATTTGATCAATAAAAATATATTAATAAAATACCATATATATATATATATATTTATATATATATATATATATATATATATATATATATATATATATA